GGAGGAATTTGTTATGTAATAAATGGCTAGTAAAGGCAGAGGGTAGGTTTTATATATCAACCTCTCTAGAACAGTTCTCAGTTATTCAAACACTAACCTAGTTATTACGATGAAGGTATTTTGTAGATAGAATTAAAGTCGATAGTCAGTTAACTTCACATAATAAAGATTATCCAAAATAACCTGTGCAGGCCCAATTCACTCAGTGGAAGGACTGAACAAAAGGACTTCTTTCCAGAAGAAGAAATTCTGCCATGAACAGCAGTTTAAGCTAAAGTACTAGAGACCCAGCCTGCCTTTCCTCACAGCTTGACTTTTGGATTTCAGAATTGTCTTGCTAGCTCCTGTAACAGTGTAAGCCAATTCCTTCCAATAAATATACAAATATATATTTTCTACTTATTATATACACTGGGGTGAACTTTAGCTAATAGAACAGTGATAAGCGGATGAATGTCTAAAGGGGACTGTTTAGTGAATAGTTCTATCATTTCCTATGAATACAGATAGACAGCCTTCCAGATTGTTCTAGGTATTGACTCATAATGGTGGGTTAAAATATGTCACTTCCTGTCTGTCCCAGTTATACAGAGATTCTCCAATCCCAGACAATCCCAGACTACAGCACAGAAACTTTGCTACTTCCAGGAAATTCTAATGGGTGAAAATATGTACCAATGGGAAAACATATATTTAATAAGCCCTCCAGGATTAGGGGTGGATTTATAAGAACTAAATCTGGATAACCCCATAGGCTCATTTTCTTTCAGCTATTTGTTTGTGACACTATATAATTCAGGCTGGCTTTGAACTTATTGTGTAACCCAAGCTGGCTTCAAATTCACAGGAATCTCCCTGCCTTAGCTTCCAGAGTGCTGAGGTTATAGGTATGCGCCTCCATGCCCAGTTTGGGTTTGAGCTTTTAAAATCTCTTATCATAAATGTCTCAAAAAGCTTGGCTTGACCTTAGGGAGTTTTGGACCCTGGGTTTCCATTAGATTTCTCTAGATGGCAGCAGAGGACCCCAGTCTAGAGTTAAATCCTTTACACACTCCAGGGCAGCGGTTGACTTGAACATTAAGCTACTGTGTAGCCTCTGCCAAATCCCTGCCCCCTTCCCCATTTCCTCACATGTGGTTTTATGCCTTTCGCCATGTGGGTCTAAGACCTGGCTCATTCAGAATCAATCCAACGGTTCCATTGATAATTGTATGACAATTCCACTCACAAATATGGAGTCTGTCACTGGTACTGTCCATCTCAGCCCATCAACTAGACACAAGTACTAACTCTTCCCGGCACCAGGGATTTCATATAATATCCAAGAACTCCACAAGTGGCATTTAGTTCACTGTATCAGGAGCACCAAAAGTGGTTTGATTTCTGACTGAACAACTGGGTTCTGGCTGAGATGTGCTGGTAAAGTTTAACACTATGGTGTTTGATTTCCACAGCAATCTCTCCTACTACATAGTTTCACTCTCTGTGGTCTCAGCTACCAGTGGTCAACTGTGGTCTGAAAACACTAGTATTTGTCTTTATTCTTTTAAGACAGTCATCATTCACATAACTTTTAGTTACTGCTGTTAATCTCTTACTGTGCCTAATTTATAAATTAAACTTTATCATAAGTATGTATGCACAGGGAAATATACAGTACATATAGAAGTTGGTACTATTCACTGTTTCAGGCATCCATAGGAATCTTGGAACATACCCCTGGCAAATGAGAGGGTTTTAATATATGTAAATGAACCACGGACAATTTTAAACTACTGTTATACTAGAGGATCTAGAAAGAAGATTGTCGCCTAAAATTAACTCCCATGAGCGGATATAAGCTTGCTATAGCTGGTTTGGTTTTTGGTCAGGTCCAGTGTATAATTGGTGAAGGGAATGAACACGTTTTCTTTTCATACACATTTACTTTTTCCATGCTTTATCTGCCTCCTCAAGAAGAACAGTCACATTCAGATACAACTCAAACACTCAGGACTAGAGTGAGACAAAACAGGTGCCTAGAATATGAAATTTTTTTTTGTCTTTTTGAGACAGGGTCTCATTATGCAGTTCAGGCTGGCCTTGAGCTCACTTTGTAGCCCAGGCTGGTCTCAAACTTGCAGTGATCCTCCTGCCTCAGGCTCCCGAGTGCTGGGATTGCAGGCGTGTGCCACCACGCCTGGCTAGAATATGAAATTTAAGGGGGCAGTCACCTTCAGAATCACACAAGGGCATCCCCTAAGAGTGGGGGATTTCCTTAAATTTTGTACTCCAGGCACCATAATGGCTACATGGCTTCTACCACTCAGTCTTAAGTGTATCAGCGCTCTACCGAGGCATGCTATCTCATCCACATTTTCTTACTCAGCCTTTCTATCTTACAGTATCTTGGATACACTGAATCAGGTCTAGAATACATCCTACTTCTGAGGCCTATTGCAGCACATGTTCTGTTTCACAGCAGAAATTGCTTTTGGTTCAGTTAGTCATACTTATAAGACCCAAAAAGGCCAACTCCTTACCAGTTTACTGAGTTTTGCAGAAAAAAAGCGAGGGAGGGAACACAGCGCAGTGTTTAGTAGCAGGACAGCATTAGACCTATCCCTTCAATGAAAATCTCCCCCCAAGTATTTATAGTTTATTCATAATCCTCCTAGCTCAGATGCACTTTACCAGTCTAGGACTTTGTTTACCATAGCCAGTGTTGATAGTTACACAGTTGACATTCCACCTTTAGTAGATGACAGAGAAATATGCTAGAAGATCAACATGAGTTCATTTTCATAGCAGAAAGGATTTTATTATCTCTCTACTCATCTATATCAAGGCACAATACCATAACATTTCAGAATATCTGGTAATAAAGAAAACACCCTAAACCTTCCAAATTTAACAACAACAACAACAACAAAAACTCCACAAAAACAAGTCTCAGGCTCATTGGCAGAATGCCTCCATGTGTGAGGCCCTGGTTCAACCTCCAACACCACAAAACAAACAAAACAACAGGTCTCGTCCAAAGTTTTAATAATTAGAATAGCTTCACACTGTTCAACAGGAGCTCTAGAGCATAGACATAACTGGAGGAATATCACCAAAATTCCAAAGAAAATAAATTCTAAAACAGAAATCAAATCTACAAAAACTATTAATTGTACTTAAAAGACAGACCTGTCAGACATACAAAGTCTTAAAAAATTTGCCTCAACGTACTACTTCTTGGGAAACTACAATAGAACTCCCAGACCCATCCCATCGAACAAAGGAGTCATTCAAGGAAAAGATGCAAATCCAAGAAATAAGGGATTTCTTATTGGGGAGAAGCAGCATCATAGAGTGGTTAAAAAGACACTTGAGGACATTCAGCAAGCCTAAAGAGCATATTATAAGGCAGGATGATGGGGGGAATCCAGAAGGTACACATCCAGGAAAAAAGAGAAGAGAAAATAAGAGATGATTTGACATATCTCAATGTAGTAAGAAATGTCTATTTCTGTCAATGAAATTGGAGGTGAATTACTAATGGATATAAAACTTAAAAAAACAAGCAAAAATCATAAAATAACCCTAAGGAGAAGTAGGTACTTCAGCAGAGAAAATCAACTCTTTGATTCAGCTATGACTGGCCTTTACTGGGAGATGAAGAATGGGGAAATCCATACTCTGGAGAGGAGGGTGGTAGTTATCACTGACCTAACAGCCAGTGTTAGTTCCCTTCTCCTTTGTCTCCCTATACTACTGACTAAAAAGGCTAATTACCCTTTCCTAGCGTTTCTTGCAGGTATGGATGGCCAAGAAACTGTTCCAGTAAATGATTTAGACTCAGAAGTCTAATCTTTTGGGAAAGATTTTACTTTCTTCATTAAATAGATTAATTTGGTTGTCATTCTCCCTCCCTTTCCATCTTGCACATGGATTCATACCTAGAACTGTAGCAGATACACTCCAAATATGAATCTAAAAACCAACATTCTAAGGATAGTAGAAAAGAGTGAGTTGCTGATGATACAGAGGAGTGACTGCATAAGACAGCCCATCTCTACACTTGTTTAATGAAAACATCAGTTAAGTTTGTTTCAAAGCCAAAAGTGACAAAGAATTCTTTTTTTTTTTTTTTTGGTTTGGTTTTGTTCTGGTATGGGAATCAAACTCACAACGTCACAACGTCGCGCTTGCCAGGCAGGTGTTGTGCCGCTGAGCTAAATCCCCAGCTCCCAACAAAGAATTCTTAACTAACATATGGTATATGAGGGCTAAATACCTATTCTCAAATTTTTAAATCAAGAAATGTTGAATCTTGCTACTTAGAAACATGACAGTAACTACCTGAAAAAAGGAGCTAAAACAGCTGCCAACAAGTAGAAACGGGCCAATGGGGCAGGGGACTGCTATCTCTCATAGTAAACCTGATAGTAGGGGTTTGCAACAGTAGCTCTACTGACATTTTGGGCCAGGTAATTCTTTGTTGTGGGAGGCTGTCCCATGCACTTTTTAGCAATGTCGCTGGCTTCTATCCATGAGATGCCAATAGCAAGCCACTCTCACCCCCAGTTGTGAGAGCTAAAAATGTTTCTGACCACTGACAAATGACTGCAGGACAAAAATGTTTTTGGGAGAGAACTACTGCCTTATAGTACTATTTTACTTTTTAACTTTTAGTAACACAGTAAATTCATTTTTTTTGGTCTTTTTGAGATAAGGTTTCACTATGCAGTTCAGGTTGGCCTTAAACTTATTTTGTAGCCCAAGAGGACCTCAAACTCACAGCAATCCTCCTGCCTCATCCTCCCAAGTGCTGGGATTATAGGCATGCCCCACCACATCCAGCCTAAATTCATTATTTTGATAAAATTAAATTATAAATAGTTTGAGAAGAGCTAGACTGGAAACTGCCAGAGTCCTCTCAAGCACCTCTCATTTTCCTTACCTGACCTCTGCCTGTGCCCAAGAATCCCATTCCTTTTCTCCCAGACAAGACTAAGCAGAAATGACACACTTACCCCCTAGAAACGCACACTCATAATGGCTGCAAGTCTTGTTTGTACTGTGAAGGGTAAGGTCATTGTCAGCCTCTTCCTGTGACACTTGAAAAACTTCACTCAGGGGTATTAAAATAATTCTTTCACTTTCTTCACCAAGAAATTCTCCAACAGCAACTCCAAAGCACGTGTGGATAGTTAATATAGTGTGTTGGTCATTAACTACTTCAGGTCTGGCATATGCCAATGTGAAATTGCCAAGCCTGGCTTGGTTTTGCCCTCCAAATGTAATGTCCTGGATTGTTCTATATACCACCTTTTTGTAACTGTCTGCACAAGGTCTTCTAAGCAGCTGCAGAGCTCTTGTGAGGTAAAAATGAAAAGCTTTGAACTGGAAGCCATAGATATAATCTTTCCGTGACTGGCCAGCCAATTTCACAGCTTCATTGAACAGATGGTAAAACAGAGTTTGCTCCTGAGCTTCAGAAATATATGCCACTAGGGCTATTCCATGGTTATCCTTAAAATTTGTAGGAAGCAACAGCTGAGTCTTCCGGGCTTCCCATTTGGCTTTTGCATTTTCCCACACAGTCTCCAAGAGCAGATGACTTGCCTTCTCCTGCTTGAGCAGTTGGGGAACATATTTCATTTCCATCCTGTCAGTACATCTCAGGTATTCATCATCAAATACATTATCTGCCATGTCTAATATTTCAGCCTTCATCTGAAATGAAGGAAAAGGAAATTAATATTCTTGAAATAAGATGTTTATTATCTACCATTTTCTCTCATTTTACTATCCCCACAGAAGAACTGTCAGTGAGAGGTATGGGCGGACTGTGCCTCTAATTCATTTATTTGAATGCTGTGCTGCAGAGAAAATTAAAGAACTGGGTGACCTCCTGGTTTTGAAAAATATCCTTACCTAGATTTCTTGAAACCCTCAAGACTGTCTGTAGAATCTGAAATACCATGTGTTATACACTGTACACAATAGACAGATAATGGCAAATAATACCCTTTTTCTTTGGGACATTTCCCCATTCCTTATGTATATGGTAGGAATGATTTGTACCTTCAGCCCACAGTATAAGCAGGTGAGCAAGGTCTAGCAATCAGAGCATTATTAAAGGAAAAAAAAATGGTTATTTTTTTCTTGTAAAACTGTAGGCTTGTGCTCACTTTGGCAGCACACATACTAAAACTGTAAGCTCTAAGGCCAAGACTGGCTGTGGGTTTCAAATAATTCTTGCGGTCCCATGCGGAACCTTGTGTAAAAGTAAATCAACAAAGAAACACTTGCAGAACTTAGAGAAAAAAAGAAAGATGAGGCCTGGAAAACATAACTGCCATTAGTCCAGCTGTACCTGTAGATTATGTCATAAAAATCAGTAAGTTCCTGGACTGAGGGGTAACACAGTGGTAGAATGCTTACCTAACACACATGAGGGTCCAGTCTCAATGCTCAGTACCAGAAAAAACCCCTCTGCTTTCTTGGACTAGTTTGCATTGTGTTTCTGTCCCATACAATGGAAACAGCGCAGCGCATTACCTAAATGATACATGTGGTCACATACCATAAAAGCAGGAGTAGTGTAACATTAATTTGAAGGCAGACAGAACTGGGTTCAAATTCCATTTCCATCATCAATCAGGTACTAACTACATATGGAAAGTATGACATCTTCACATTTCTGAGACTCAATTTAAAAATTCAGATAAAGTGAAGAAAATAATTTTTTCTTTTTCTGTTTTTCTCCCTAGGGATTGAATCCAAAGCGTTCACAATGAGCTACATCCTCATTCCCTCCCCACTTTTTCTTTTTGGACAGGGTCTTAAGTTTCCTAGGCTGAATTTGAACTGGTGATCCTCCTGCCTCAGCCTCCAAATTGGCTGGTATCACAGGCAAATACCACACATAATTAAAATAATATTTTAATTGTAGAACTATTGTGAAGATTACATTACCTAATGAATATATTCAAAGCCCTTACATGATACATATCAAACCTATTAATAAACTGTAGTTACTATTTTTAGTACATTTACATTACATAATGTTTACACTATTTGTGTAGAGTTGATACAGGTACATATTGATTCCTTTTATCATCCCTTTTTTCCCTCTATCTCTTGATCCCTTTCCCACTTGAAAAAGAGCTCCCTATTTACTAATATCTATATTTTATTTTGCTCTTTATTTATAATTTGGGTTTCTCATATAAAAGAAACTGCAGTACTTAAGCTTATGTGCCTGATTTATTTCACTTAACATTATAGTTTTATAGTGTTTTAGTATAGACATTGTGTATTACACTGTGAGTTTCTGAAGGGCAGAATCTGAATCATATTTATTTTTGAATTCCAAGAGCCTAGTATAAAACATGGCAAAACATTCAGGTGAACTAAATGAGAGCCCTACACTTTCACTTATGGACCAAGAATGGGATGAGCAAATCTAGGGAATACTTTTAATGGATTTCTACAAATAAAAGGGAAGTAAGTCTTTTCCCATCATTCCATGTTTGTATGCTGCATGGTTACATAAATCTTCTTAGAGACCTCAGCTGGAGAGCTGATAGAAATACTTAATAAGGCATTATCAGTTCCAGTGCAGACCCTTCAGCCTCTGCCTGTGGACTCATATAGGACACTACAGTGGGCTCCAGGCCTTCAACTGGTTTGTTTGGATCTCCAGCGCATAGACAGACCATTTGCACTCTTCTGCATCTGACTTTGTGCATGGCCACTGTAAACCAATCTTGTAAATTCTTATATACTTGTATATCTTGCATTAAATATGTTTCTACAGTAAACACTGACTGATACAATGTCTAAGACCAAACTGATAAACTTAACTGCCTACAATCACTATAAATAGCTACCTGGTTCTTACTTACCAGTATCTGTTCGTTATTGAAGTTTTCCTAGGTGCCTCCTTCCCAGTTCTAGTGTGGCCATCTCATCTCTAAAGCTGAAAAAACAGCTGCAGAGTTCTCTATGTCAGGCGCTCAGTGAATCATATGAATTACCTCATTTAATCCTCATGGAAACTTTGTGAGCCACCCCTTTTTGTCGATACTGGCAGCTGAACCTAGGACTTTCACACTAAGCTATACCCTCACCCAGTTTTATTTATTTTGAAGTGGTCTCACTAAGATGTCCAGGCAGGGCTCAAACCTATGATCCTCTTGCCTCAGCCTCCCAGACAATGGGAATTACAGGCATGTCCCAGTATGCCCAGCTTTACCCTCACTTTTTTTTTTTTTTTTAAATAAAGAAACTAAAATACAGACAGATCAAGACTCAATGGGATTTGAAACAGGCAGTCTGGTTTTAGAATCTTGTTTTCCTAAACAAAATGTTCTATTACTTCTAAAGAACAAGAGTGCTTTCACTGATGATGCCACTGACATTTATGTAGCACTTTTAAAAGATAATTTTTAAAAAAAAATTTTGTATGTATAAAAACACTTACCAAAGTTTAGGCAGACAATTATTAATACCACTTTGCAAATGAGGGAATTGGACAGCATCATAAGCTGTCTTGATTATTAACCACAGGGTATTCTGCCGGGAAAGTCACTGAGAACTCTGTACTCCTGGGTTTGTAGGTCAGTTTCTTGACATGGGAATTTGAGCTTCAGGAGATCAAATCACTGCTGTCTCAGAGTCAAGAAATGCACTTTCCTCTGCAGTACAGAATGTACCAGAGTTCAGCTTGGGCACCAATGCTTGACTTATCTTCAAGACTTCAACATAAGACATGAAGCCCTGAAACACCTCCCACATTCCTCACGTCATATCAGAGTTGATCCAGTACGTTCTTGTCTTTTTCCAACGTCTCTAACTAGTCTCCACTTGTCTAATTTTAGACATCAAGCTTTTTTAGCCAGACACTCCATAACTGATTGTGTTTTCTGTACAGTGTATGCTTTAAACTGTGACAGAACTCACAAATATCACCACTATTCAGGGACAAATTGAATGGATATCAAGAAATAGGTACAAACAAAATGCTAGGTGAAAAAGCTGATTATATTTTCTTTCTTTGATTTAGTCACAGAAATGAAAACTTATACTGATGAAATTCAATTAGAAAAAAATTATTACAAATATGTGAAAATAAATTTTCAATTTCTCAAGAAGAGAAATAAATTAAATTACAGAATATTAGTAAAACAAATGTTAGAATTATGCTACAAAAGCAAACTGAAAATACAAATTAAAATCACAGTGAAACATTATTTCACACCACCTAGGATGGTTACAGTGGTAAAACACAAGCACAAAAGAAAAATAACACAAGGATGCAGACACAGTGGAACCCTATGACACTGCAAGGAGGACTGTAATATGGTGCAGCCACCGTGGAAAAGAATTTGGCAGTACCTAGACAAGTTAAACGTAAGTTATCATATGACCCAGCAATTTTACTCTAGGTATGTATCAAAGAGAACTGAAACATATATTCACAATAATGATTAATTCTGTTATTAGCATAAAGTATTATCCCTGCAAATTCATTTTCAATTATATGTATTTCTTACATATGTAAATAAAGTACTATGTAATGCTACCAAATAAGGCTTGTACTATTCTTCAGGTATGTCAATAAAGATTATATGATTATAAAAAATTTCACAAAGAGAATTATGTTCATATAAAAACTTGTACACAAATGTTCATAGCAGCTCTATTGATAATATCCATGAAGTGGGGACAACCCAAAAGCTCCTCAAATGATGAATGGATAAACAAAATGTGGTACAGTCATGCAATAGCATGTTATTTAGTAGTAAAAGAATGAGATAGTGAAATATGCTACAACATGTATGGGCCTTGGAATTTTTATGCTAAGCGAAAGAAAACAGACACAAAAGATCATATATTTTAAGATTCCATTCAAATAAAATGTCCAGAATAGGCAAATCCGTGAGACAGAAAGTAGGTTAATGGCCACCAGAGAATAGTGAAAGGAGGGAGTAAGAGCTAACTACCAGCAGGAAAAGGGTTTACCTTTAGGATGACAAAAAGTTATGCAATTAAACATAACAACACATTCATTACGTTGTGATAGTAGCCCAACACAGCGAATATACTAAAATCCAGTGAAATATAAACTTCAAGATTGTTAGTTTTGGGGCCTGGAATATAGCTCAGCGGCACAGTGCCTGCCTGGCAAATGCAAGGTCCTGAGTTTGATTTCCAGTACAAAAAGAGAGACAGAGAGAGAGAGAGACTATGATTTTTTTTATGGTGTGTGAGTTATAGCTTAATTTTAAAAAAGCAACAAGGTGCAGACTGTAGCATATGTAACGATTCTCTAGACAATGGACCAAAGTATTAAATTTTAAAACATGGAGCCAGGCACGGTGGTGTACACCTACTAAGGAGGCTAAGACAGGTGGATGGAAAGTTTAAGGCAAGGCTGGTGAGTCCCTAGCTCAAAACTGAATTTTAAAAGGGGCTGAGGATGTAGCTGAGTGCAACCTGGCTTCAATCCCCAGTACTGACAGCTAACAAGTGTAGAAAAAAATGTGAGACACCTTTTTCATATTTTACATACGTGTTACTGAATGTTTAATGATTTAACTGAAAATGAAATCAAATTTATATCTGGAAAAAGCTAAATATGAGAGAACTGGCACTGTATAATTTAATAAAAACCAATGCAATATTATCTTATTTGGATAAAAACACATAATATTTACTGACATGGAGAGACATGTAGCACAGTATTAAAAACCAAGTTAAAAAAACTATGTGTATTATGACTCTATGTTTTGTAAATTATACACTCACAGAGATAAAAGCCAGGGCTAAATACACTAACACCTTAAGAATCTTTCCCTCTAAATAAAGAGATAATGGATGAGTTTTACTGCTCTCTTTAACTTTTCAACTTTCTACCGTTAACATATGTTAAATAAAAAAATTATTTGTAATAAATTCGTTTAACCTACTTCCTCTTATTTCCATGTAGATGCCCCAGGCTATGTTACATCAAAAATTTCCATTCCAATTACCACATGCTTTCCATTCCCAACATTACCTGGAAGATATCCATTAGAATCATGGCTGCCAGGAGCATGATGACCACTTCAAGACGTCCTGTCTTCATTTTTCTCTTCTAAATTAAAATGAGGAAATTCCAACTCAGTATACTTGAAAGAGGAGTTTAGGGGAATAAAAGCAGGATGACTATATACATTCATTCTGGATGACAGTGGATACTGAGATGGTCAGAAAGTGATTACTGATAAATTCCTAACGGCTGCAAGAACCATTATGTTTTTATTAGTGGTCTAACACCTTCAATCTAGAAATGAAACAAAAAGAGAACTTCGGTGCTTTGCTCAAAATTAAATCTGCCCATTTCCACATTCCTTCAGACATGTATCTCCCACTACTGTCAGTAGTAGACATATTTTTCCCTGTCTCTAAATCTTTCCTATCTATCCATGGGAAATAACACAATCAACCCAAAACACCACAGTCTTAAACAGTCCCTCAGCTCCCAGTTGCTAAGAACTCTCTAGGAACATGTACACATACACCTGCATTTTTCTGCTTTCTTTGCAAACTAAGTCGTGCCAATTTGAATAGGAGAGAAGGAATTATGGACTGGTAGAAGTACAAAGCAGATTATAAGAGGTGGCTTCCTTCCTCCTTATATTCACAATCAAGAGAAGCCTAAAGGTAAATAAGGGTTTTGCATAATTTCTGAAAATGGGAACGAGAATAAAAAGGACCTGGGTAGGCAGCATTTCTGACAAGAGGATAGAACTCTGTCAGCTGAATGTCCAATATTAATCCCAGTACTAATGATGCTGAAAGGGGTAAACAGCAGAGTAAGAAGTCCATAAAGACGAAAACTATCCCAGAGCTATTAACCAGTTCAATTAAGGATTACCAATCTGCCTCTGGTTCCTCCCATATGCTAACAAAGTTGACACTACTAGAACTGAAATAAAATTTTTACTTTATCTTACCTATCACCAAATTCTGGATTCTGAAAATGGAAATGAACAGCATAGTGAAAGGGAGATAGTCTTCCTTTTTATAGAGCATCTTAGTCCTATGCTATATTTAGAACCAGTTTCTTTAAAGTTATTAAAATATAGTACCGAAGTGTAACTTCTGTGTTAAACTTCTCTTTCCAAAAAAGTGTTTGGAATGTAACATGTAGTAGATACCTGTCAAAAGGCAGTATGCGCCCAAAAAGCTCTGGTTCCAGGTTTTCCTGACAATTCTTCTTCACTTCTGTAGTCTGAGTGCAAATAAGTTAAAGTGTTTACCTGCCTTTTGTGCCTTTGATGGAAGCTTAAAGTGATGCTAGATCTCAAATTGATTTCCCACTCTCAGTTGTGGTGACCGTGTCCTCACGATGGGATGTTGTTGACAGTGAGTGCTGAGAAGGGAATGCTTTTCCTTTTATAAACACTCCCAGAAGCAGCCTGGCAGAGGCACATTACTCCACTTGTGTTCTGCTATTTATATCTGGCCCCTACACTATGCCTTGGAATCACTGCTGTTAACACTTTAAATCTCCAAGAAGCCTGTAAAGCCACATCAGTTCCTTCTAACCATGCAGCATTCTCAGTTCTGAGTCCACAGTTCTGGAGTTCTTGCAGAAAGAAATTACTTCCCATTCCCTAACTCTCTGCACTGAGATGTCAGACTGAAGCATGGATTTTACTCTAGCTGGGTAATTCACATAACTAAGACCATATGCTTTGTTAATCACTGTAAAGGTAATGGCTATCACCTTTCATCCAACTAGCTACCACCATCTTTCAGACACTGTGCCAGGTGCTAGGATACACAAGCAAAACAAAACATTAATGTTGCAGAAAACAGACCAAACATAGGAAAAACAGCACCAAGAAGGTTTAGGAGGCAGTTAATTACACCTTTGGGCTTCTGACTAGGATTTCTCTAAAAGAGTCAGAGTGCCGCTCAGCAGAGTTTAGGGGCTTTTAAAAAGAAAGTGAATGGGCAATATAAAGGTAGATTTAGTGATGATCAGAGAGCTGGGTGACATTTTGGGTTGCTAAGGGAGTTTAAACATCTCAGATTACATCATAACGCCCTCAGCTATACAAAGCATGGTTTCTACAGAGGCAGAAATGTCCTGTTACACTTTAAGTTACATTGCAAGGCCATCAGTTATACAAAAACAGTAAAGATAAGGGTTTTCATAAAAGGAAAAGTGTTCTGTTATCGGGCCTGCCAGACATGTTTGCTTAGTCTTGGCAGGAATCCTGGGTAGGCTTTTATTTAAAATTTTAATTTTTCCCCTTCACTAAAAGATATCTATAATCTAATAAAAGACACAAATATGAATACTTAAGAACCTTGCATACAGACAAAGTCCAATGAGAACACTAAGGAAGGAAGGAACTGGTAATTCCTGCAATTATACCTCTCATTTTTTTTTTTAAATTTTAAAGATAAAAGAAGGGAAACATTAACAGACATACAACATTTTACAACATATCACAAGCACAGTACAGACAATACAGAGTTACAAACAAAGTGGTAGGGAATTAACAATGTATACCTTTCATTTGAATAAGGTACAATGGTAAATACACTAGCAGCATATTAGTAAATAAATTGGCAATGCTGAAGTACACGTAAAAGAGTTTCACTGACTGTAGATTTAAAAACTTTCAGATGTCCTGGGAAATTCATGCATACTTACAACAAAATACATTAACAGAATGTTGATAGTAGTACTCTCCAACAACAGCCACAAATTGAAAACTATCCAAATGCCCACTGAAGAAATAGATGAACTATGAAATATACTTACAAAATGAAAATTTTAAAGAATATTGAAAATGAACAAGCTCTAACATGTAACAATGTGGATAAATCCCACAAAATTTTGAACAAGAGACATAAACATGTATGTACTGCAAGATTTAACTTCTGTAGAATATAAAAATCAGGCAAAACACATTTATGTCATTAGAAGTCAACAGTGGTTGCCCAGGGCCATAGACAGTAAGTGGAAGGGGTACAAGAGATGCATGTGAGATGCTAGCTATGTTGTTTCTTTGTTCTGCATGCTGACTATACTTTTGTACTGTTCAGTTTGTGAAAATTCACTGAGTTAAATATTTATGTGTAATTTTCTTTACATATACATATATATTATTTCAGTAAAACATGTAAAATTATCTTGAAGTATACCCACGGTTACAAAATATGCATGGTCGGGCTGAGGATTTAGCTCAGTGGCACAGCGCCTGCCTGGCAAGCACAAGGTCGTGAGTTCAATTCCCGGTACCAAAAAACAAACAAACAAACAAACAAAATATGCATGGTGGAAAGTTTGCCCAGTTCTTTCTGCATTATCACTGTGAATTCTGCTGGGCAAGCATACACTTCTTTGCTCAGTGGAAGTCCCACAAACCATTAGGGAGGTGACCACCCCTGTCATATCGTGTCCTGCTTCTCTGAAGCTGAGTCCAAGGCTGACCCAGCCACAAGTACTGAAGTAGATATCAAGAGGGGAGAGAGGTACTACCTCAAGGCTTACAGCATTCTGAAAACCTGTGCATTTGTTCTTGATTTTCTAAAGAAGAAATTGGTCTTTTAATTATTATTAGTATTCATAATCATATTACTGAACTCTATTCAATATTAAGCAAGACTGCAGAGTCTTAACAGTACGAATTTGCACGTCTTTGTCTGCTTTGTACTTTCTTACTCCACATTTATCATTTTTGACAATACAAAGGTGGTCTTTCCAATCTGTAGCCATCAGGTTGATGTTTACAATTTTTTTGTATGCTGTGTTGTTGCTCTGATTGGACCACACATTTATTTTCAGAAACTTAAGAGAGTTGCCCCAAGGACATAATTTATCAAAGAAAATATAATACTCATGAACATGTGGCAGATGTAGCAAAAACTTCAAAACAGCTCAGCAGTCATCAGGTGGGATCATTTGTAATAAGGATAACCCTTACTGAAAATAAGCCTTTAGTCACTGTCTTACTTTTTTCATTGTTGGAACAAAACATGCAACACCCACAAGTTAAAGGAGGAAAGGTTTACTTTAGCTCATAGTCTGTAGAGGTTTCAGTCCATAGTTTGTAGGCTCCAAGGCAGAGCAGAATGGCAGAGGGGCATGACGCAGGAGGAACAGTCAATGACAGGAAAGAAAGCAAGCAGCAAGCCTCCCTTTTCCTTTTATCTCATCCAAGCTAGAAGCCTTTTGAGTGGTGCCATCCACACCCAGGGTGGGCCCTCCCATTATCCACACCCAGAACTATGACAAAGCAATTAGTGGGCTAATCCAGTTCCATACACCCTTAATCCCAGTATCACATACCCATGAGCCAGCTTCCTCCCCAAATCCCTACCTATCAGGGCATGAGGCTTTGGGGAGACATTTAGATACAAGCCATAACAGTTTCTATTTTGACTTGTAATGGTCTTTCACAAGCTAAATATTTTTCCTCCATGTTTGATTTGCTGAATATGTACTTTTTATGCTAGTATTTTTATCATTTTTTTTTTATTTTTCTGGTATTTTTTTTTTTTCAATATTAATGTAGCCTTTGTACTGGGATAAATTTTCATTGTTTTTAAAAAGGACTGCTAAGAAAAAACTAAGTATGTTTACACACTTTTTCATTTTATTTTGTATTTGCTTTAGGAAGTGCTTTCTCAGTCTTTAAAAGAACTGTTTGTGGGAGAGAATATTCTACCTGGTCAGTGCCATTATAGTATTTTGTATTTCTACTTCAAATAAATTAATTTTGTTTACTAAAATAAATCCATCTCTACCATTCAGAGCATTTCTCTGGCAGTTAATCTTTCTCCACCTTACTGATAAAGCAATCTAAGATTAAGTACCGCAGAGCAAAACTCCCAGGAATAGTGTCATCTGTTGGAGGAGAGACAAAAAGAAGGAAGGTAGGAAGGCAGAGAGGAGGGAGGCAGGGAATGCGACTTTAACATCAAAGGAAAAAGGGTATGATATGCTTGTAGGGCTTGTAGGCCTTAGGCTCACTGCTTTTAATTCTCAACTATGTGTGGGGCCTACAGGAAATGAGGTAGTGGGTTCTGTTTCTGGTCTCTCAAAATCTGCCATATTTATCTATAGATTAC